AATGCATTGGTGAAGCATATACTCATTTCCTTGAAAACTGCTGTGGTGGCTGTCCTTTTTAGTTCTGGATTAAAGATGGGTAATACTGCCACTAAAAGGGGCTCCCTGATTTCAATGGGATAGTGGGATTTCCAGAGTGACAAAGGACAAGTAGAAGCACTTAATCCTCAGATATAAAGTAGGCCTGGTTATTATATCAGGCAGGAGGGCCAGACCCTTTATCAGAGTAGCTCGGATCTCTGGTGGTAGCTAACCGTGGTGTCCTTAAGTAAAACAGATGTGGAGTTGTACTAACGTTATTACTTGATGAGAAGAAAAAATGAAAACGAAAACAAAAAACTCTAGGTACATCAAACTGAGGCCTGACTTAAGTGGCCACAATGGAAGAGTTATGGCACATCACCTAATATGCAGGCTGAACTTGTTCCAAAACACAGAGCCCCTGGAAAAAAGGAGACAATGGGTTCCACTGAGGAGGGACCTTAAAAACTGCATCAAGCACATACTTAAAGTCTTCCTCCCAGCCTTTTCCAAATGGAACATGCCGCTCTTCATCAAGGAGGCAGTGCATGTGGGAAACAGAATCACTTGGGCTTTTTAGGGGTTACTCAGCGCTGGCTCTAAGCCCATATTAACCCTTAGGGATGAAAACGTCACTGTGGTAAACCAGTCAGATCTTTCACTGAGAAAGAGCCTTCTGGCTCTGATCCATCTCACAGTGGGCCCAGTGAATCCACAGACCCACCCTGCAATTTCCCCAGTTCTTGAACACACAGCGAAAGGTTCCCTAAACTACGGAGTAAGGGTTATCAGCATAAGAAGGGCCAAGTAAAATCCCCTAGATGTGCCCCTTCCTAACAAAATAAACCCAAAGGAAGAGCACATCTCTGTGGAAACTGGAGAGGACACAACCAACTTCAAAGATGTAAAAGATACAGGGATGGGGACTGTTACGACACCCTGTTTCACGGACCTATTGGGCAAGCGCAGAGAACATGATTCTAGTAAGTCATGAAGCGGTGACTCCGGTTGTAGTTGTTGTTCTGGTCTGCACTAGGACAAATCAACACACTCCCTGGCACCTAGTATGCATCTCTTGAGCTTACAAATGCTTTCTTTTTATCTATTCTAAATACACACCACCAGAAGCTGTTTTCATCTTACAGTCCAGAAACTGACCTTCACTATCATAGCTCAGGGCTTCATCAACACTCCAGCTACCTTCCATTATTTGGTAACAGACCCAGCACCTCACTGGTCCACTGCATTATTAGTTCAACCATCAAATCCTATATCCATACCCACACCTGGTGCCATCTCACTTTCTATTTTGTGCCAACCTAAGAGGTGGAAGATAGTATTACTCTTTTAATATGAATGTCTCTGATTACGTAATAATTCCGAACATCTCTTTCTATGCATGTTAAGATTTGCTATTCCATAAGCCACTTATTAATATCCTTTCCCTACTTTGCTACAGAGGTTGCTGCCCTCTTTTTCTTGCTGTGTAGTTCCTTGTCTAGTCTACAGATTAATCCCTTATCAATACTGGGCACTACAAATACCTTCTCTCAAGCTTTCATCTTGCACTGAATGAAAATCTTTAATTTTTATATAATCAAAATCATTACTTTTTCACTTTCATAAATTTTTGAAGCTTTAGGAGTCCCTCATCCCTAAGAAAAAACTTCTTCAACAATGTCTTCCATTCATTTTATAATTTCTCCTCTTACATTTAGGTATTTTTGATTTTTAGCCATCACCCTTTCTGCCTATGGTATAAGGTTTGTTTTTTCTCCATATACTGAGCCACTCTCCATAGCAGGACTCCTTTCTCTAGTGATTTCTCTTAAGTTCCTGAACACATACAGGTAAATCTCCACTAACTTGTTCCCAAGTCTATATTTCTGTTACACTACACTGCAGTTACACTAGTTTTTATTACTACAGCCTTGAAATAGTATCTTAATTTCTTACACTACAGTTTTTATTACTATAGCCTTGAAATAGTATCTTAATTTCTGATAAGGCAAACCCCACCAAAACCAAATCTCTAAGACTGCTTTAGCTATTGATAAGCTTTATCCTATCCGCCATATATGAATTTTAGATCTAGGTTACTGAGTTTGTCAGACAAACCAACTGGAATTTTGATGGCAGTTTAATTGAATTTATAGATTAAAATGGAGAAAACGGACCTGTGATAATAAATATACATATCTCAGAGCATGGAAAGATTTATTTCGATTCTCTTCTAGTTCCTTATTCAAGTTTTAAAGTTTTCTTCTTAAAGTTCTTATGTATTTTTGTGTTAATTTCTACAGACTTGACAGATTTGTTGCTTTTATTGTATTTTCTTTTAATTACCTTTACTAGCTGGTATTGCTAGTGTAGTAAATGATATTAATTTTTATGGTTTGATCTTTTTAAAATTTTTTTAAATGTTTATTTATTTTTTGAGAGAGACACAGAGCATGAGCAGGTGAGGGGCAGAGAGAGAGACAGGGAGTCACAGAATCCAAAGCAGGCTCCAGACCAGGCTCTGAGCTGTCAGCACAGAGCCTGATGCAGGGCTCGAACACACAAACCGTGGGATCATGACCTAAGACAAAGTTGGATGCTTAACCAACTGAGCCACCCAGGCGCCCCTGGTTTGTTCTTAAATCCAGTAACCTTGCTAAATTCTTACTAGTTCTAATAGTTTCTCTCAGTTCTAATGGTTCTTCTAGGTAACTGATATTACCTGCAAATAATGGGTTTTAGTGCTTCCCTTCCTATCCTTACACTTATTTTTTTCCCTTTGTAGTGTTAGCCAGGATTCTTCTTCAAATGTTAAACAATAACAGTGATAGAGGGCATCCTTAACTTGTTACTGATCTTAAAGTGAATGAATCTAAAATTTCTCCATTAAGTATTATTATTTGCTATTATTGTAGGTTTTTGGTAATGACCTTGATCCAGTTATCTCATATTCCAAGTATACTAAGAGTTTTTTTTATCACACAGCTATTGGATCTTATCAAACGCTTTTATGGTATCAAGATAATCATGATTTTTCTTCTTTAGTCTATTTATGAGATAAATTATATTAACAGTAAGTAGATGTTGAATCATATTTACATTCTTAAACTCCAGAGATCAGGATTCTTTTAACAAATTCTTAGATTTGATGTGTAGGATTTTCATATCTATGCTAATAACTAAAACAGGTCTATAATTTTCTCATATTGTCCTTATCTAGTTTTAAAATCAAGATTTCACTGACCTTATAAAACAAACTAGGCATCTTTTTATTTCCGTTTCCTAGAACAACTTGTGAGAAGGAATTGTTATTTAAAAGGCCAATGCAACTCACTTATCTCAGTCCAGTTTTTGAAAGGAGAGGTCTTTACCATTTCACTTTGTTAAATATTTATCAGTTCAAGCTATCCGTTTCCTCTTTCAATATGTATTTTTCTAAGAATTTATACTTTTCATCCAGGCTCTCATATTTATTAACCTACAGGAGTTCATAAAACTCTTTTTAAAAATTTTAAGCTGGTAGTTATTTCCCATTTTTTCATTTAATTATATTTGCATCGATTTTACTTGATTAGTTACCAGAGGTCTATCTAGCTTATCGATCTTCAAAGAACAATCTTTTGGTTTAGCAAGTCTTTCTTTTGTTCCTAATTTCATTGGTTTCTGCTCTTGACTTGATGCTGTTTTCTGAACTCCCAAATGAATGTTAAGCACCAAAACAAGCTTCCTACAGCATTTAGAGAAGTCACTAGGCCACTGTGTCCAAAGCCTGGTTTCACTTCTAGACTTCAACACACAACCTATTCAATATATTGTCACACATACATCATACAAAAATAAAATCATATCCATAATCCTACCAACCATACCTACATACGAATGTCTTTGACCAAAGCTGTATCTTAAAGGCAAATAAATTAGATTATGTGCTTGAGCCCACCAAAAAAATAAAAGCGTAAGGCTGTTAACTGTGTATCTGAATCAAGGCAGATATTTTCTCTACACACCTAATTGGACAATTACTGGTACTGCTTGATAAAATTAGTAACTAGAAATGAAATCTCCAGTTGCTTTACCAGATGCCATTTAAAACTTGCTGTTATTAATAGGAGAGAAAAATCTGGCTGCCATGGTCACTTTTCACCACTACCACCACCTCCAAAAAAAACCTACTCAAAGCAAAAGCACTTTTTTTTCCTAGCGATAGAAGCTAGGTTTAGGGTCGGTTTCGGATTACAAAACAGATTTTGGTCTTCAATCCTTCTGCCTGCAATTGACCATTAACGCAGATCACTAACAAAAGTTCAACATCCTCTTGTACACATGCTAAATGGCTTATTCTTAGGAGTGTAGCCCTTGAAAGAGTAATTTTATACGCTGTTAGCTTCAAAACGGATGTCGCTCCCACGGCATTGGTGTTACTCTAGAAACAACTACATTATCAGGATGTAGAAGGTGCACGCTGGAGAAGGGAAAGAACGAGGTGTAGGTACTGGTCAGCTTTCTAATTCCCGACTGGTCTAACGCAGACTCGCTAAAAGCGCATGAACACAACTTGCAGACTTCTCTCTGGCTACAAGAAAAAAAGAAGAAAGAAAACAAAACAAAAGAAGAAGAATCCCTAACGCAAGTCCGACGGCCTTATTTCCCCCTCACGTTGGAGGGCGACACTTTGAAGGGGCAACGGAGAAAAGGGCTTCTTGGTGTTGAGAGCGAGGCAGCCGTGACAAGGCTCGCATGTGCAGGAGAACTGGGGCTCGTGCGCGCACCAGGCTGCTTCTCGAGGCCAGGTAACACAAGACGCCAGGGCCGCTCCGGCGCTGGCCGCAGACACCGAACGGGGGGGGGGGGGGGGGGGGGAGGGGGGACCCAGGGACCCACGCCTGGAACAAAGGAAGCGGCGCTGGCCGAGAAGGGTGGATTCGGTGTCCGGGTGGGGAGGAGAAAAGCCAAGGCTGCGGGGGAGAGGCTGCACTCACAGAACTTGGAGGTGGAGGTGTTGATGTTGATGGTGGAGCTGGGGGTGGGGGTGGGGGCGGGGGCCGCCTTGGCCACGGCGGCGGCCGCGTCGCAGCTCTTCAACATCATGATCACCCCATTGGCCTCCGGCGGCGGCGGCGGCGGCCCCATCGAGAGCCCCTCCTTGGGGCCCTTCCTGTCCACCGAGGCCGCGGGCACCGCAAGCAGCTGCCCCCCGGGCGGCTCTCGCGCAGGGGCTGGGATCGACGAGGGGGGCGGCGGCGGGGGCGGGGGCTGCCGGAAGCCGTCCACCGCGGCCTCCCAGTTGTTGTGGTTCTGGTCGTCCATCATCGCCACGTAGCTGCCCCACTCCTCCTCTTCCATGCTTTCCTCCATCCTGCAGGCCCCCGGCACCCTCCCGCCTCACAGGCACCTGCCGCCCGTCTCAACCCCGGGCCAGGGGGCACCGCAGCCTCCTCGAGCTCACATCGCCGGCGGCCGGCACGGGCGCGGCGGGGAGGGGAGCGGCGCGCCGGGTCTCTCCGTCTCCGCCGAGCCGCCTCTTGGAGACAGGGCTGACGGCGGTGGGCGCTCCCGGGCTCTCGCCTGGGAGAGGCAGCCGTAAAGCGGCAGCGCCCCTTACGACATTTTACAGCAAGTTCCAATCGGCAGTTGGAAAGGGCAGCTGGGGGAGCGGCCAGGAGGGCACGTGGTGCGAGGAAAGAGCCAGGAGAGAGCAAAGTGAAAAGGGGCAGGAGCGGTGAGCCACCCCCACGCAGAAGGGCAGAGGTTCGCCCCGCCTCTGCTGGCCTCCGCGCCGAGAGGGGCGGGGCCTCGGGTCCGGAGGCGCTGTCGGCCGTCCCGCCCCCGACCCGGCCCCACGTGACAAGGAGGTGTGCGCAGGCGCGTTCCCTGTCTGGTTACCAGGACGACCGGAATCTGGCCGGCTCGGAAGATGCGCCCCAAACCGTTCGGCGTTCGCGGTGCTACAGGCCCCGGCTTCGGTGGCGGTGTTCTTAACGCCCTCCGCGATGACTGGGCCTTCGCGCCGCGCGGGGCTTCGTAGCTCGGGCCTTTGGTTGACGACAGAGCGAGCGGGCCACACGAGGCCGCGGTTCGCACGTTGCAAATGGGTGGGACTGCCCTTGGGTGGACCTTGATCAGTCGGCTCGCTGGCCTCAGCCCCACACTACGGAAACCCTCAAAACCAAGAATAAAAACTGAAACGTAGCAAGGTGGCTTTAAAAAAACACAAAACATGCGTGTGAACTATTCGTGGTCTCTTTTTTTTTTTTTTAAGTTTCTTAACTTCTCCATACACTGAGGCCAGGAATTTAAATTTTTTTAATGTTTATTTAATTTTGAGAAAGAGACAGAGCGTGAGCAGGGGAGCGGCAGAGAGACGGAGACACAGAATCCGAAGCGGGCTCCAGGCTCGGAGCTGTCAGCACAGGGCCGGTCGCGGGGCTCGAACTCTGGAGCCCTGAGATCGTGACCTGAGCCCATGTCCCGCCCTTAACCAACTGAACCACCCAGGCGCCCCAGGAATTTTAAATTAAATGCCAATCTTCTTATGGTGTTTAACAAATCTGACTACAAATTTTGGATTGTGTGTGAGAGTTTTGAGGGGCAAGGTTACTAGTTCTATTAGAATTTCTCTAATTCCTCTGCATTCTCCAATTATAGCAATAGTATATGAGAATATATGTTATGACTTTATTGTGGAGCTTATTCTAGCTACTGGTGATAAAGTCTAGAAAAAACTGTTATTACACTTAAATTAGCAGATAACCTTTATTTCCACAGATATGTGGTTAGTGTAAAGAATCACTTCACCCACTGAGAAATCATCGTCTCAGGTGTACGTCAATGTCCATGTTTGTTTCGCTTCCTCAACATATGTTTTCCCGTATATTCTGTACTATACGTAATGGAACTGTTTACCAATTATTTAACAATGATTTAATTAGACAGTGCCCTCACATATCAATTAATGGCATATATTTTTTGAACCAGTGCATGTTTTTAATTCCCTGGGCCTAGAACTATACTAATGATGTGACCCTGGGAGGTTTGGGGAATACTTCTTTTTTAGTTTATTATTTTGAGAGAGAGGACGCGTGTGGGGGGGGTAGGGGCAGAGAGAGAATCCCAAGTAGGCTCCGTTCTGTCAGCACAGAATGGGAGTTGGGGGTTGGGGGGAGCTTGATCTAACAAACTGCGAAATCAAGAGACAGAGGCTTAACCAGCTAAGCCACCCAGGTGCTCTGGAAATATTGTTTTTAAGTAAAAGATAATTGGGTAAAATGCTAAGGGTGGATAAAAATGTCACCTTAGAATTCTGTGCCTAGCAAAAAAAGAAGATGGAAAAAGGAAAACGAATTATCTTTTTCAGACAAATAGCAACTGGTAGTTCATCAATAGACTCTCTAGGTGGGTATGACTGGAGATAAAAAGAGATGTCTACATAATAAAATATTCAATATACAAGGAAGATACAAATCATAAATATATCTCTAGTAACAAAATATGTGAAGCTAAAGTTGACAAAAGTACAAGAAGAAAGAGAACTCTACCATCATAGGTAATTTTCCCATCGCTCTTGAATAGATTTTAGTGGGTTGAATAGTAGCTCCCAAAAAGATACATCCATATCCTAATCTGTGAAAACTTACTTTATTTGGAAACAGGGTCTTTGCAGATATAACTAAAGTTCTTGAGATGAGATCTTTCTGGATTGTCCAGGGGGCCCGTAACACCAATGACAAGTGTCCTCCTGAGAAAGATAGTGAGAGATATGAAAGAGAAACTAGACAGGAGGTAATGTAACCACACAAGCAGAGATTGGAATGATGGAGCCACATTCCCACTTACATCTCAGCAGCCACCCAAATCTGGAGGAGGCAAGAAATAGATTCTCCTCTCGAGCTTCCAGAGAATTCCACCCTGCCAGTGCCTTGATTTCAGACCTCCAGCTTCCAGAACTGTCAGAGACTACATTTCTGTTGTTTTACCACACTATTTGTGATAATTTGTTACAGCACCGCAGGAAACTAATGAATAGATCAAGGGGACAAAAAAAAATCTTTAAGGAACTAGAATAGAAGATCTGAATAACACAATTGTCAAGATTGATGTAATGAATACATATACAATGATGCATTCAACAACCGTAGAATAAAACAAGAATATGTGGAAAGTTGACAAAAATTGAACATACTGGGTCATAAAGCAAGTCTCTCTACAATATCTAAGGATCGGTATCATAGCAACCACTTCTCAACCAGTATGTAGTTACATTAGAAATCAATAACCAACAGACAGCTGGTAAACTCTCATGGTTCTACTGTTCCAATCAACTCATGGGCCATAAAACCATAACGGAAATTGGAAAAGATTTAGACTGAAGGTATTGGTACTATCTTAGCAAAGTAACTTCCATTCTAGCAAGGGCCTGCCAGCATACTGGTAGACACTGAACTGTTCATATATGTACTGCCAAAATGACCAATATAAGACATTCATTTTAGCTGCAATTAAATACACCATTATGGAAAATTTTAATGATGATTGGGCCAAGCAATCAATGACAGGGTGCAACTTTTCCATATCAATAAGAAGAAACAGGGTACCTGGGTGGCTCAATTGGTTAAAGTGTCCAACTCTTGGCTTCAGCTCCCATCATGATCTAACAATTCGTGAGATCGAGCCCTACATCAGGCTCTGCACTGACAGCACAAAGCCTGCTTGGGATTCTCTCTCTGTCCCTTCCCCCGGCCCCCACTCCCATGTTAGATTCTGCACACTCTCTTTTTCTCTCTTGCAAAATAAATAAGTGAACATTAAAAGAGAAGAAGAAGAAGGAAGAGGAGGAGAAACACCATCTACCAATGAGAAATCAAATGACCATATTGACAACTGGTTGTTTTTATGGATATTATGAGACATCATTATATTACACTTAAAAGCATATTATATTTTAATAGTTATTAACTTAAAATCTTAGATGACTTGTTCTAGGATATGGAGATCAGAAATAGCAACCACTGACCCGACACTGGAGAGTTATAACACAGGTTGATAATTACTACAACCTTCCATAGTTCCAAGTATTAATCCATTTGATCTTTAGGCTTGTTTGTTTGTTCCTATTTCCCACTATGCTATGAATTTCATTAAATCAGTATGAACATATATATATGTAAAATACGTATGTATACAGGAGCAAGAAACTGAAGGGACCTCATGAAAAAAAAAAGCCATTTTTTCCTTTGCTCCTTTTCCTGTTTCTATTCTTGCTAGAACCTGCACCCCTGACTCACACGTGCCTTAATGTATGTTCTCCATGTGAAGGTCAAGGAGTTGATGATGGTTTCTTTGGAGTCTTCCCACACAGTAGATAATATCTGAGCAGTGATTGAACGGGGCCATCATGAACATTCTCCAAGTCCACTGACTCCAAATACCTTGACACCCAGCCCCTGGCTCCAGGGCGTAAGTAACTACAGAGGACACCTGTTCTTGTTCAACCAGGTTCCTGGATGCCCGATGGGACATGGACACCGGACCACCACCCTCAGTAAAAGCTCCAGACCTCCGAGCAAAGATGAGGTTCATGTTCCTTTTCCTTTCTGGGTCTCCTCGATGCTGTGTCTGTATCCGTTCTCTCTCTATGTCTTCAACAAACTCTGCTCTTACTATCACTCAGCTTGCATTTGATTTCCATCCAGTGCAAAGCCAAGGAGCCTCTTGACTGGCCGTGTGGGACCCGCTCTGGGTCCTTGGACCTGCCAGCCTGCATCATAAGTGTGTACACATGAAGAGGAGACTAATTCAAAAACACTATTAGCAGTTATGTAGGGATAACAGGCTTATGGATAGATTTAATTTTCTCCTTTTAACCTTCAATGTTTTCTATATTCTCTACAAGAAGCATGTATTATTTCTATAATCAGAAAAGATTCTAAACCTTCAAGTTAAAAAAAAATAAAAACAACATGAAGAAGGTATACCTTGGAATTCTATACATTAAATGTTCATTTTGGCTCTCAGAAACACAAATCTCAATAAAAATTGCATAAAAACGAACGCTCTTCATTGGCTAACAGACTGACCGAGTCTAAGCAGGGCAAAAGCAAGGTGTGGTTCAACACCAGCTCCAGCTCTGTTCAATGGTGTGCTTTTTGTCCTGATCTCCTCTTTTACAAGTTTCATCCTCAGGCTGCTGGCATAATGGCTGTCATAGCCCCAGGCCTCATATGCATGGACAATGATGTCAACAAGAAGGCCCACAGCTTGTGACAGCTGTCTATGATGAGCAAGCTAGTCCTTTCCCAGAAGCCCTCAGCAAACTTCCTCTCAGTGCCTCATTGGCTTATTCCTGAACCAATTCACATGACATTTAAACATATTCCAGAGCCATTTACTGGAAAGATTATGGATTTATCATCAAATAAGGCCCACCCCTGGAACCCAGAGTGGGATCAGCTTCTCCTTCAGTACATTGGCTGAGAAGTGAAGAATAGTTACAAGAACAAAAACCGGGGTCAAATTGGGAGGTTTAATAAGTGCTGGCTATGCAACAGTGCCCATCAGAGGCCCAAGTACCTAATCTCCTCGAGCCTATCCATTACATAACCTCATCACAAACTCTCTACTCCCTCCCTTTCATTAGCACCTACCTAATCAGTATACTTATGCAAAATTGTGTATATACTAATTAAATAAATATATGGCTAATTGTCTAAAATAGTTAAAACTTGGGGTACCTGGGTAGCTCAGTCAGTTAAGCAGCTGACTTTGGCTCAAGTCATGATCTTGCAGTCCATGAGTTCGAGCTGTGTGTCAGGCTCTGTGCTGACAGCTCAGAGCCTGGAGCCTACTTGGGATTCTGTGTGTCTCTCTATCTGCCCTTCCGCTGCACTCTCTTCTCTCTCTCTCTCAACTAAATATACCTTTAAAAAATAAATAAAAAATAAATAAAAGTAACATAGTTAAAACTTGGAGGGGTTGGGGGCGCAGAGGCTTTATCACTAAGAATTAGCCTCTGTCTTAAATATTTCATGTCACCTTTCCCATGGAATAATTCAT